AACCTTCGAACCTGCCGATCCAAAATAGCCACCAGCTCCACATCATAAGTTATATTGTTGATACCCAATTGTTTCCTCATATTTTTCAAATATATGTATATATATATATATATATATATATATATATATACACTTTCAAAATAGTGCATATGCATCATCACTTAATTTACGAGCACACACAAGTATTTTTCATAATTTTTCCATAATTTTTAAAGGCTTTAAATTAATTTATTTATGCATTTTATTATATATAAACATCAAATAATTATCCTTCATATTATTTTTATAATGATTTAATCATCCAAATTTATCATTTATACCAATATAATGTTTAAATATTTTTTAGTGCATTTTTATAATTACATTTGTATTTTTAAGGCTAAATTGCACATCTTTGCAATAATAGCCCATAAATATATAATTATATTATTTATGAAGAAAATAATTTTTTATATTTTTAAAATATTAAATAACTATTTTAAATCATATTAGTGCATAAATAATATTTTTATTATTTATTAATTGCCTTTATAAATTATTTATTTATTAAATATTGGGTATTTAAAAACTAGCCTAAATTCCTACCCAAATTCTGACCTAAAACTACCCAATACACCAACCCAATACCCTTGGCCCAACACCATTAGCCCAGTCCCTTACCCATTTAATTAACCCGCCCCAACCCCGCTCGAATCCCACCTGTTGATAAAAAATGATCAACGGCTCACAAATGTTCCCCCTATTTCCTTATATCACCCGTCTCCCAAACCCTAACCCCATTCCCCCAAACCCGCCGCCTATCTACTCTCTCCCCCCCTGAAGAACCCTATCCTGCCTCCTCACAAAAAAAACCCTCTCCTAATCCCGTTTCTAATGGGATTTTCTTCCCATTCACTTACCATTTCGATATGTTTTCATTATCGGGTGATTCTTTACAGAATTACCTAGTACTTGCCTAAACATGGCAAGTACTCTTACTATGATTCTGTCTCATTTGACTTTCATCCCTTTAATATGGACGATATTGAGTTCACACACGCTTATTTTGCACCGTGTGAGTCCGATTTGTTCGTATCTTGCTGATTCATACTTAACCCTATGGTTAGGGTTTATATATCTTCTTTGATTCGAATCAAAACTGGTTCAAGTTTTGATTTTGAGTATTATCTCGCCATTATTCACCCTATTATGTAAGAATCTGCCTATTTATGTCGATTTCTTTTACTTACCCTAAATTAGGGTTTCAGATTCTTTTTAATCGAATCAAATCTCGTTCGAT